AGTACCTTCCAGTGTGAATCTCTGAACTAGGAGTGGCTAAAAATACAGACAGAAATTTTATGCTTAGTTGATAATAGTGCAGCTTACCTTAGTAAGCAGCTTACCTGGCTTGCCTTAGCGACCAACAGATGGGTCTCCAAGACAAGCAGCCATTGTAGTCATTTTTTATTATGTTGCCCCATTTTTTTCTTAATTCAGACTTTATGAAACTTTATCTCTGTTGACTGACTTTCTTTTCACCTTGGCTTACATAAGCTTGGAATTAAGTTCTCTGTACAGATATACAATGGTACTATATTAAATTTCATAGATAAATTCTAATTTTGCCTTGAGTCTCCAGGTGCGCTGAGTTAGGCATCCTAACAGTAAGGAACAGGCAATTATTCATAGCCTGCAAAACTAGTTTGAATGACTTGTCCTCCGTAAGACAGGAGAGACCAGATATTGTTCAGTTCTCCAGAGTTCCAATCAATAGACTGCTCTGACAGTGCAATCCTATGCCAGTTACTCTATTCTATGTCCATCGATTTCAGTGGGTTTCAACTGGAGTAATTCTGCATAGGTTTGCATTGTGGGTCTCTTCCTGCAGCTCCCAAATGCTTTGTGTTTCACTTAATCCCAGTTTAGAAAATATCATTGAATGTTTTCTGCAATTCAAACATGTTTCTCAGAATAAGGCAATTGTAACAAATTGGTTTTAATGTTTTAACGTTTATTAAAACAGAATCCAGTTCAGATGTTACATTTAGGATACATGCATGTATTTATTATCTATTTAGTTAGACCCAGGCTTGAATCCCCACTCTGCTGTGGAAGTTTGCTGGGTGACCTTGGGCCAGTCACACACTCTCAGCCTAACCTGTAAGGATAAAATGGAGGAGAGGAGAATGATCTCAGCTGCTTTGGGTTCCCATTGGGGCAGTGTATGTGAAGCAAAATTAATAAAAAAATAAAAACTTTTTTATTTACTATAGCTGTGCTCCTGGTTATTTTGGAAACCCACTGAGATATGGAGGATACTGTCAGAAGTGTAATTGCCCTAATAATGGTCAACTTTCAAGCTGTGATCGCCTGACTGGGGGTAAGTAAAGATTTATTGATACCACTAGAAAATGTACTGTACTTAACTGAACAGTGTAACAACACCTCTTGAGTGGAGACTGGGAAGCTCCAGTGCAGAGACAAGTTAAGATTCCCCACTTGAATGAACTGAGTACATTCTGAGATGCCTATATTAATCTGTACCCTGGAGCTACCCTGGAGCTACCATCACTTTAAAACAACAACTCTACACTGTGTTCATAACCTATATGTAAACAACTTGTGAGAGAAGACACTAACCATAAAATAATGTAATGTTTAAACACAAGTAGTAGTATAGTAGAGGTATGTATGCAACAAGTCTTGTTTATTATTTCCCTTGTTGCAAGAATGACCACTCGGAGCGATGCACAGCTTAAGGCTAGAGACTTCTTCATCTCATACTGCTGTCCTTTCGATGTTAAAGCAGAATATGGAGGAATGCTGCTTCCTTTATTCCAACACATAGGAAAATAAGCCCTAGTTAAAACTAGATGACGTTTGTGGGGTATCAGACAAATTGCTTGACTTATTTTTTACATGATGCTTTGATTAAATCAGCACCTGTAATCAATAAAGAATTTTCAGAAGTAGACTTCAGGTTCCGTTGACATGCCACTAAACATTTACATTTGTAGAGGCTCAATGGCATAAGCTAATATCACAATATTGCGTGTTTCCACAATGTGTGTGTGTGACTGGCCTTTTCTACAAACTGAGAGAACCCTCACAGCCTCCAATGATTTTGGGGGAACCTCAGTTACCAGGTGTTCCAAAGGTAGCAAGTGTATAGGCTTTGGGTTCGGGCTGTGAGGTAAGTTTTGTGGTGAGCAAATAGAATATGAAAGACACTGAGGCAGGAATTGTATATGAACAACAGAGAAGATTTAATTATTTACAAGCTGGTTTCAAAGAACAAATCAGCAGTGTAGGTCTCCCGGAAGACAAAGAAAAAACCTTGCTGGGGCACATTAATTTAAAGTAGTTATGGCTTGAGAGAGTAGTTGTAATTTTCCCTAGTGCTTTAAGGCATAAACAGGCTTTTACTCTCTCACACACAAGATTCCACCTACACCAGCCTGCCCTTTCCTAAGAATCAAACGACATGGTACAAGGTCTGGTCATTACCAGAGACCATCCTAACAACTGGGTATTCTGTTTTCTCCCAGAGGTACAGCCTAACCATTCTGTCACACCACAAAGCAGAGCTACCCTTCACTCTGTCTTCTCTTATTCTGAGCCAGACCTGAGCTCTCACTGCTCTCTCCTTGAGGCAGAACTGAACTCTCCTCTGCTGTGCTTCCCTCCAACCCTTCATCGCCCTTCTGAAAGGTGATTGGATGCTGGAACAGCACTCCCATAGGCTCAAATGAGTGGCCGTTTTCCCCTTCAGGGGCAGGACAGACTCCTGTCCCTCAGAGTGTGTTTTTCTGATTTCCAAACTTTTAAACATTCATTTCGCTGCAGTACATAGTTTTCAGTGAGTATTATGCAGTGATGAAGGCAGTCAATATAGAGCATTAGGTGGCAATTAACACCATGGAAAGCACCTATTACCAGTTTATGTCAAAATTACAATAGAATTTACAATAATTAATAAAAAGTTATGAGTATTTCTCAGAACTTTTTATTGACTCCATTGTTGGATTTATACCTCAGTAAGCTTTGTCATACCTTGACCTTGGATGGCCCAGGTTGCCCAGTTTCATCAGATCTTGGAAGCGTTGGCCCTGGTTAGTACTTGGGTGGGAGACCACCAAGAAAGTCCAGGGTTACTACACAGAGGCAGGCAATAGCAAACCACCTCTGTTCTGTCTTGCCTTGAAAACCCTACAGGGTTGCCATAAGTCCATTGCAACTTTCAACCACCAAATGTTGTCATCTCAGCAATTTTGTACATTTTAACCAACTGCTTCCTAGTAATTACCATTTAGAGACAACTAGAATTTTACCTTAATCCACAGGGCAATGGGGGGGGGGGGAAAAGAGCAAATATCCATGTGGTACATATCTATAAATAGCAGTTCACATTTGTCTGGAACTGCCTCTGGTTTTCTAGCTATTTCAGCTAGAAGTTAAGGGAACAAACACTGTATTGTATACAGTACACATGTGTAAGCGCAAACACACAGACACAAAAGGAAACTAGATTCAGGTGGGTAGCCGTGTTGGTCTGAAGCAATGGACCAAAGTTTGAGTCCAGTAGCACCTTTGAGACCAACAAAGTTTAATTCTGGTTATAAGCTTTTGTGTACATGCACACTTCATCAGTATCTGTTGGTCTCAAAGGTGCTACTGGACTCAGACTTCGTATCGGGGAAATGAGGGATGCAGGACCCTTTGTATGCACCCTCATTCCCACTGTGTTCGATTTTGGGAGGGAGAGTAGCTGGCTTCCCAATTGCATCCAGAGAGAGACAGTTGTTCTAAATTAAGCCTCGCTTTATTCCATTACACATTCTTAAGTCAGAAAACATTTTTGTAGCATTTTGATATTCAACATGGAATATTTCAACACAACCCCAATACATAGAGAGTGCGCTTGTAATTCTATAAAGGATATCTTTGGTTGTTCTACCAAGATGCATAACTGTGGATAGTTGATCAGAACAACCAGGAGCAAGACTAAGATCAGACATTAAGTACCCTATTTCACCCACTGAAACTGAAGTAACTGTCAATCAAGTCTGTGACGAGCATTTGACCTATATCTGACATATACAACAAAGTCAGCCCCTTTCTTTCTGTCTCGGGGGTCAGGAAAGCTGGGTTAAGCCAGGGTGACTCACAGAATCAAGGAAGCTAGTTTCTGATACTCTTTATCTATTTAAATTTTGATAGTGACTTCTGACTGCTGTAAAATATAAACATTCCCAGTAACATGAGGCGAGGTCTTGTCCAGTGAAGGCCACACACAGCACACGGCAGCAGCCTGAAGCTTCCTGGAAGCAGAACAGAACCAAAGTTTCAACTATATAGGCTAATTACTATAGATATTAAAGGATTATAGGTGTATCAGAGGTTTTGCAGAGTTTTAGCAGAGGACTGAGACTCAATCCAGCCCTAATTCTGCAATACTTTGTACAAAAGGAAATTGTTTTATTTTAATCGACAGTGATGTTTTCCCTAAGGTAACATTATTTTTCTCTAGTTTCCATACCACAAAAGAACTGTATTATTGGTGGAAATATTGCCCGCCCATCCCCTGAATGAGACACGACACAAGTTATAGGTTAAACTGGGAACTTTATTTACAGCAAGCTGATCTGCACAACTTAGTTAACATGTTAAAGCACAGATTGCATCTGGCTTGCAAGGCAAGCTTCCTAACAGGGCAATACTACCCTGGCTCAGAGCAAGGTCCAGAATCCTTCCGAACCTTTTCCATCATAGCACGCACACGAGTGCATAGTGGGGATGGAGGGGCATAGTCCTCTCCCATGACTGCTAAGTCTTAAGGCTTATCGTATGTCCCCCAACCCCAAAGTGGCCCCCACTGAGCCACCCAGACTGCTAAGCCGACAGGTACCCAGTTTGAGGACCCCTCCCTATCGCTAATATCTCGGGGTGCTTACCCACTCGAAATCCCCTCAACCCGTGCTTTTCCTGCCATCCCACTTAGGGCCTAACCAGATTAACCAAGCCTATTTATAACTCACCACTTTGGACCATGTGGAGCACACAAAAAAGGCCCCCCTCCGAGCCAATTTTAAGTGAGGGTCCCAAAAATTCCTGCCTGGCCCCAAACTGGCAACCAGCTAATCCCACATTGTCTCATAAGAGGGAGGGAGGTTGGAGAGCTCATGCCGTGCAGGATTGCGGAGAGAAGACAGCTGCTGCTGAACTCGGTCAGCATGCCAGCCTCCCATTGGCCAGCATCCCCTCCAGATTGGCTCCCCTTCCCCTCGTGATTCATTCTATGAGGAGGTGGGGGAGTGGGCAAATGCCAGCACCCGCCTCATTCAGTAGGAAGCAGTCTTCTAAAGAATGTCTTTTAAAAATCCTTCTCTCTTACTGAAATAAGTTGCCAGAACAAGTGATATCTTTAATTGGTATTCAGCTTAATTTCCAGTTTTGAACTGCTATTTCCAGCCATCTGTTTCTCCACATCAGCAGTAGCATCATCTGTGATCAGTAGCACGTGTGTTTTAGCAGGCTCTGACGTCACTGTGGTCTTGTACTAGCCTATTTGAAGGTTTTAATTTCACCATCTTTGGTGGTTCTGATTACTATGCAGGCTATAAGGAAAATCATATTTAATTGACACTTTACTTAAACATATTATAAAATGTATCCAAGAGGTATTTTTGAGTGTAGTGATCAATGAGTAAAAGTGCTATGTCCCCAGTGATGTTAGCTTCTAAGCATTACATTTTCTTAGCTGAATAATTCCTTTTAAAATCGCTCAGTTCCTTTTAAAATTACGTTCCACTGAAAAGATAAAGTCAGATGGCCATGGTACTGGACTTAGCTGTTTCATGTAGTTCTCTTTAAGTATTGTAACTTGTTGTTCTTCTTAGTAAGGTCTAGAGGTTGATTTTCAACGTGGAATATGTTCCAAACCATTTAACGTGAGAATGTCAGTTTGGGAGACACTGCACCATGGCTGTGTTCTGCCACTCATCTTCAGAGATCTGAGATCATTCGTCTTTGTTCCTATAAAAATGGTATTTTACCAAAGAAGGAGCCCAATAAAAACCTCTAAATTTAGAATTTAGAAAGCCATCTGATTTAGAAAGCTATTACCGATTTTTGACAGTCTGAGATTGTCTCTAGCCATCACATGCAAGGCATTAAGACCCATTTGCAGAACACAGAGAGAACACCCACTAGCTCATGGTATCATGTTAGCTGTGTTGCTTTAAGTAGTTATGATCTGATTTTTTTTCTTTTTAATTTCCAGAATGCATAAGTCAAGAACCAAAAGATGTAGAACGTCAGGAAGACTGTGATTGTAAGTAATAATGCTTGACTAGTTTAGCTTACTATTTATAAGATTTCATTCAATCATCATTTTAAAGGCCAGCGGTATTTGTTTTAACGTCAATTTACCTTTTAAAAGTTGATTCATAAAGTACCTAAAGAAAAGTCAAACAAACAAAGACCCTACTCTGTAAAAAAAACAACTCTAGATATAAATGTACAATGGAGGGCTGTGGGATTTGGTTGCAGCCTTGGATGGATGAGTTTCTCTTGTCTTTGTTCTTCCGTGAGGGACGTTGTTTTAATGTCACATTAACGTGCTCCATATGTCGTTGTTACCACATAGTAAAAATGGGCAATTTACACTGTCTTTTTCCATTCAGCTTGCGATAGCTGTGTAATTACTTTGCTGAAAGATCTGAGTACGATGGGTGATGAGCTCCATCTGATTAAGTCCCAGATGCAGAGTCTCAACACCAATGTCCATGCACTGGAACAAATGAAGAATCTGCAAAACCGTGCCAAGGACCTAAAGGTAACATGAAAACTGATGTTCTACATCTCTGTGTGTGTGTGGTGGGGTGGGGGGGAGGTAAATAAAGAAATGGGAAGTGACTACCCCCAGGAACCCACATTGGATTGCCTTACATAAAAGTGACTCCACAGGGCGCTAGTCACAAACAGAAAAAACTCTTCCTTCCATTGTGAAAGTAAGTCTGGAAGGAAGCTAAGTACCTTGAGCAACGATCTACATGGATATAAGGCACAGGAAAGGGGAGAGTTCAGCGCTTCTTTCCTGTCTGCTTGCTTTATTGTTCAAACATGAATATGAATGAGGCATAGACATGAAAAGAAATGTGTCTGCCTCAGTTGTGTCTAGTTTAGCCCTTAATACAGTATGTAGCTGCACTTTCATACTAAATTTTGGCTTATCTGGGATCAGTCATACATCCTTTTCTGTTTACCTTTATTTTCAGGCTCAGTTGAACCATTATCGTTCTACTGTTAAGACTCAGAGCACAAAAGTGGATGAACTGGAGACAGACTTGATTGACCTTAATCAAAATGTTAATGCTTTAAGAGAAAAGGTGGGCTGTTTAAATATTATCTAATTCTGTATGTCGTGGATGTTGCAGTATTACAAGTTGTCATGGGTACTGATACTTGTTAGTAAATGTTGAGATTTTAAGACAATTATCTCAGAACTGGAACTGGAAAATCTCAGAAAACTTTAAATTCCAGTGATAGTTAAAAACAACAAAGTGGCTTCTCTAGGGTATCCAATTGAGTCTATGGGAGAGGAACCCATGGGTGAGACATGGCCTGTGATGCATTTTCATTCCAAAGTCTTAATTAACAATACATTTCAAATTCACAATGTTTCTCAGATCTACCATAATGTATACATTGATATATTATTTTGGTTAACTGGCAATAGCAAATACACCTTTAACCACATATTTATTTATTTATTGGATTTTTATTCTGCCCTCCCCAAACGGGCTCAGGGCGGATCATGACAAATTGAGTCAAAGACTCGTTACAATAAAATCACATTAAAATCATAAAAACAATAAACCATAAAATTGGTAGCAGCGATATAAAATCTGTTGGGGCCACACGGTGGAATCAGATGGGCCCTTTCAGCAAGTTGGAAATTAAAGCAGGGAGGCCAACTGAGGTGGACGCCCGCTGCCTCAACTGAAGGCCTGGCGGAACAGTTCTGTTTTGCAGGCCCTGCGGAACAATAAAAGGTCCCGCAGGGCCCTGATCTCCAGTGGGAGCTGATTCCATCAGGCCGGGGCCAGGGCAGAAAAGGGCCTGGCCCAGGCTGAGGCTAAATGGATGTCCTTTGGGCCGGGGGTAACCAGTAAATGTTGGTCCTATGAGCACAAGGCTCTTTGGGGCACATATTAATTAGCTGTCTCTTATTTTTTTTAACTTAGTTTTTTTGTCTTTTTATTAGGCTGAAATGAATTACAGAAAAGCAGAGACACTGTTTAATAATTTTAGTAAGACCAACCAAAGGGGGAAAGACTTGATTTCAAAGATACAAAGTGTTGTCACCAATGTTAATGGTAAGATTAGCTTCTGCTCCTCTTTGATCACATCCTGTTTTGTAGAAATAATTGCAGGTGATTTTAATTTTCTGCTGAAATTTGACATACTACGCACTTCTCTGCTGCATGTTTTTTGTTATAAAAAGCAAGGCTTATGTACATTTTTATCCCATCCTTTCTCCAATGAGCTCAGGATAGCATACATGGTTTTCCCTTCCTCTGTTTTATCATCTGAACAACTCTGTAAGGTAAGTTAGGCTGAGAGGATGACTGGTCCAAGGTGATCTAGCGAATTTCATGACAAGTCGGGGTTTGAACCTGACTCTCAGGCCCTGTCTGTATCACACCTATTCACATTCCTTTTCATAACCTAGTAATTGATAAGATAGTCTTACCAGTGTTTTCATCAGTTTTGACAGCTGTGAGTGCCCATAGTATGCTTCTTGCAGGATCATTGATGAAAATGGGATGTCTCTGACAGTTTTTCTACTCCCAAAACTTGTCATGTCTAGTTGTTTTCAGCTGTGTGCATTGTCCTCATAACACTGTGAGCATCTTACCAGCACTGCCAGAAACAGAGTGAAAATGTGGCTATATAACAATGTAGAAAACTATAGGGCAGAAAATGCATAACTGGGAATGCCATTTGAGCAGCATTGCTTTGGAAAGCATAACATATATATAATCCTGGTGATGGTGAACCTTATCCTGCTAGTGTATAAGAGGAAAGGCAACATATAATTCTATTAAGTAAGAGGTCAAAGCAGAGTGAACTCAAAATTGGTGCAAGAGTGTTGCATGATGAGTGATTGGTTCTTTATTGAATGACTGTGTTGAATGATTTAAAAGAAGAACACACTGGTCTGAAAAACAATGTGTTGAAGTGTTTCATTCATTTGAATATGTTTTTCTTATTGTAGTTCTCCTGGAACAGATAGCTGGTATTTCTGCAGAAGGAAATTCTTTGCCTGTGGGAGATGCCGCCAAAGACCTTGCTCGAGCTCAGCAAATGGTCACAGAGATGCGAAACCGCTATTTTGGTCAAGAGCAGCTAGAAGCAGAAAAGGAGAAAAGAAGAGCTGAGAATTGTAAGAGCTTAATGATTGTTTGCAGTTTCATGAAGATCTTGGAGAAGGAAATGCTTTGTATGGATTTACATCCACAGGGCAGATAAGGAGAATTATGGCCTCATTTGGAGAAGCAATAAAGGTGTTGTACTAAATGTTGAACTGGACGTGGAGTTTGCAGCATTAAAATAACATGCAAGGAATCTTGTAGCATACCAGACATTCCCAAGCCAGTATGAGAGAACAAGAGAAAAGACAAGAATGGGGAACAGAAATACAGATGGTAGAGTGGTCAAAGCAAACATGCGCCCTCAAATGAAGAAGCCTTATGGATTCTAGTGCTATGGCTTCTGAGGTTTAAGCTAAAGAGGAGACTAATCTGATCAGGATGTGAATTGTCTGTCCTTGAGTGCTGTTTTTACCACTAAAGAACCCTTATAATTAGTGAACATTTCTCCCTGTTATGGAAATTCATAATTTTGCAAGACAGTTGTGTGTATTTATCATGAGCTATTGCAGTTTGGTAAGTCTGGAGAAAATGCAAAATAATTTACTAAGGACCTGTTGTATGAGAATGAATACTACAGAGTATATAGTACTCTATTAGTGTTCAATTATATATCTAATAGTCAAGGTAGCCCTGCCATGGGAATCAAAATATCTGCACAGTGAGGCAACCCAGGGCTAGGATGTATGTTTCCACAAATGCAAGGGAAACCCCAGATTACACAATAATATGAACGCTTTTTTTAAAAAAAGGAGTAAAAATGTGGTAGTGATGGCCACCATTTGCAGGTAGGCCAGTAGCCTCCTGCTGCACCAGTGAAGGGGAAGGGAAACAAAAGCAGGTAAGTTGCTAGTGGAATGGGATTCTGAATGGATTGTGGAGAGGTGGACAACGAAGAAAAATCAGGCAGGTGGGTGGGAGGGAAGACTTGGTGGGTGACGGAGGGACCAGGCAAGAAGTCCAGGAGGGGTGGGCAAAGTGTGGGAGTGGAAGTGGCCATTGGGAATACGAATGGGGTGATCTGGGCAGGTGGATGAGAGGAAGAAGAAACCTGAGCCAGAGAAGGTAGAAGGAAGGGGAAGAGATTTCTCCTCCTCCATGAGTATTCACAGTCCCCCTTTTGTAAGGTCCTAATAAGAAGATGTAGCAGTAGTGTATGCAGTGGGCCTTATAGTCAACTATTCACTTACTAGAATATATCAGTTTGAATTAAGCTTGTAAGCTTTGAGTTGGGATGTTCCTGGAGATTTGGAAGCAGAACCTGGGGAAGGTGGAGTTTGGGGAAAGGGTTGAGCTCAGCGGGGATGTGATGCCTTAGAGTCCACCCTCTGAAGTTGCCATTTCTGCCGGGGGAACTTATATCTGTAGTTTGTAGAGATCAGTTGTAATTCTGGGAGAGCTCCAGGCCCCACCTAAAGGTTTGCAACCCTAGTTTGAACTGCTACTTTAGTCTCCACCCCTTCAGCAAACACAAATAGTATAGTGTAACAGCACAGTTACTTTTGTCCAAGGACCACCTGTTGGGAGTTGTCACTTCATCCATCCATGGGTTCAGACAACAGAGTGGGGGATCGTGGAATGAAATTTTTAAAAGACCCAATTGGACATCATTGCAACAAGCAGCCGTTGATGTTTAGATCGGCTAGCTGCTATTTGGGTATCAAAGCAATACACTCACAAGGAGTACTTCCGGCTCTAGGAATACAACTAAGTTATGCCTGATCTTTCACTCACTTCTGTTTCATAAGTAAAGGTAAAGGTTTCCCTTGCTCGAAAGCTAGTCGAATCCGACTCTAGGGGGCAGTGCTCACCCCCATTTCCAAGCCGAAGAGCCAGTGCTGTCCAAAGACATTTTCGTGTTCATGTGACTGGCATGACTAAACACTGAGGCACACCGAACACTGTTACCTTCCCACCAAAGTGTTTATCTACTTGCAATTTCTAGATTTCAAACTGCTAGGTTGGCAGGAGCTGTGACCCAGAGACAGGAGCTCACCCCATCACACAGCACTAGGGTCTTGAGCTGCTGAACTACAGACCTTCCGGTCTGCAGCTCAGCGTCTTAACCTCTGAGCCACCACGGCCCCCCTTCTGTTTCATACAGGCATAATTAAGCAGCTATCAAAACCAAAAACTGATGGATAGCTTGGTTCCTATACATAGTGGTACAACCAAAGATGGTCTATCCAGTTAAAATTGAGAAGATATCAATCTAGAATGAGGCATGGAATATACCTCCAGTAGAATGAGGTAGTGGGATTCTTAGGTGGCAAAAATGGCTGGCATTACTTCAGATTGCTGATGAAGGGGGCAACCAGAAATAATGGCTGAAGTGTTGCTAGAAGAAGGAATGTCACAAGAGTTTGGAAGCCTGTGGAAGTGAAGTTGTAAGGGTAATTTTTTTCTCCTATATGGAGAGTGGTGGCAGCACTCCAACAGGGGACAGATCAGCAGGCTTACAGTGGGTAGGATGGGAGTTTGATGCCTCCTCAAATCTGCCACTGAGAGTGACCAGGCTGCCCCATTACAGGACCAGCCCCCAAATTCGGAAATATATACTCCCTCTCCTGAAGTCTAAAGTGGTATGGTCCATTCCACCTTCGCAGCACACTGCCACCCCATTACTACCTCATTCTGCTGCGAGTATAGATGAGATGCAAAGCCTCATCCATATGTGATGCTGGCAAGGCTAAGAGGTTTCCTGTGCTGTGAATTTGCCTGGGATTAAAGTTTCATTTAAACAGTGCTACAGCTTGTGCAAAGCAACAATACGTGTGTTTAGTTTGCATGCCAGAGATTCATAGCCCTTATGAATATTATGCTTTGTGCAAACCAAGTATGCATAAGTGCTATGCACAAATTCCAGCACAGCTTAAATAAGACCCTGAGCTTGTTCAAAGTCGCACTGGGAAGCTCTTTTGTTTTATCAGCCACAGGTTTAATTAAAGCCTAAGAATATTCACCAGAGAGGGCTAAAACTGTGTGGAAGCTCTTTTTACTACAGCAGTAATGCTCATAGAACAATTGGGTGCACTCTTATTTTGTTATCCAATACTAAAATCTGCCTTTTTCTAATTGAATAGTGCTGGATCGTGTAAGAAATGAACTACAAAAACATCAGGAGAAAAACCAAGGGCTAATTAAAATGATAAGAGATTCATTAAATGGTTTTGAATCCAAACTCAATGATCTCCGTGAATCTTTGAAGGAAGCAAAAGAGAAAACCAAACTGGCTGAAAGTTTGAATGGAGAGAATAAAGTCCTCTTGGACAATATTAAGGTAATACTGTGTTGTTTTTTAGTTTTTCCTTAGCTTAATGGATGAAGAACAGGCCAAATTCCTTCACAAAAAAGTGGTAAAATAAAATACAATTGTCCTGATACAGTGACAACTTTTGTTTTGTGTTATTTTCCCTTAAAAGAGGTTTGTAGTAGTCCAGTGAGACTAGCAATAAAGATATCCCTGTTTTCCTTTGCTTCTTTATTTCTTAGACATTTGACATCAGAGTTCAGTTTCCCTGGACAAAGCCAGATAAGATATAATTTATTCAAACAACATGCCCAGACCCATTTCCTCTCTCCTGAGAATACCTTGGGTGCCTCTGTCATATATGGACATGTACAAAATTGTTCCACCCTGTTCTCTTTTTCCTTTTGTGCCGAACATTTTTTGTGGCAAGAATATTCCTATGAAGTGTGAAATTGTTTTGGAAGCAACAAGTTGCTTCATTTTAGAGAATAATACTCCAGTGCTTCTGGGAAAAATTTGACTTTAGCTCTTGGGTCCAACCTTCTATTGATTGCAGCACAATGGCTGTGTGAAGGATAACATCACATGGGGGAAGGAAGGGTTCCATTCATCATTGTAGGTAAATATTGTTGTTTAGCAAGAAATAGAGTTCAGACATCTTATAGCAGAACCTTTGGTGTAGTGGTTAAAAGCGGCGGACTCTAATCTGGACAACCGGGTTTGATTCCCCACTCCTCCACATGCAGCTACTGGTGTGACCTTGGGTCAGCTACAAGCTCTTTCAAAGCTGTTTTCTCAAGAGCAGTCCTCGAAAGAGCTCTCTCAGCCCCACCTACCTCACAGGGTGTCTGTTGTGGGGAGGGGAGGGGAGGGGAAAGGAGATTGTAAGCCTCTCTGAGATTCCCTCGGGTACATTACATTACATTACATTACATTACATTACATTACATTACATTTGCGATTTATATACCGCCCTATCCAGTGAAGGGCGGGGTATAAAACCAATCTCCTTCCCCTTCCCCCCTCCTCCTCCAGTAGCATCTTATGTACAGTTACTTCAGTGTGAGTTCAAAGGAAACTGGAGTAACTCTGCATAGAATTGCACTGTTAAAGTTTTAGAAGTCCTACTTTTCTTTCTTTCATCCTTACTCCTTTCTTAGGGGAGAATTGTACATTATGTATACATGCTTATTTTCCTCAAGTTTTTTTGAACTGACTGTGGCTGTGGAAGTGAAGAAATATATGGGATACAGGGGGGTATTTAACTCTTATTCACAGTGTAGTCCAGTTCAAAGCCCATCCAAAGGATGACTTGTTTCTTTTTACCCTAGGACTGAAGACCAGCCTACCCAGAACCATGATAGAAAGGGAAATTTGATCTTACCTATGAATTCCTGTTTTCAGTTGTCTCCAAGTTCAGTCTAGTTGCCTGCTTTAGAACAGCAATAAAAAGATCAATGAAAAGCAATACACTGAGGAACTTTTATATTTGATGCAGAGTCTACAGTCACATATTTCAGCTACAGGCTTAGTTTGAGTCTGGAGGGAGTATCTGCTTTCCTGTCTTGTGATTTCCCTTTACCTCTCTCAGATTGGAAGTTAGTTATACTGTCAACACTGTTTATCACTATATACCCCTCCTAAGCCACTGAAGATGGGAATTCACAAGTAAGCTCAAATCGTACTTACTTCCAAAGAACCACAGTTGACTTAGGATCACCCTGCCTTGGGGTCAGTGCAATCTCATAATTAAACATGTTTAATCTTCTCTTGAGTGGAATAGGTAGCCAAACCTGGTCTTTGGCTGAATTGTGTACCTTATTCTTACACAAAAAGGTACATTAACTATACCTCTGATGACATAAGCTCCCTTTTCTGCTGTTTTGTTAAAAAACCCTGCAGTACTTGTTTCCTTTCTTTGTCAGAAACGGACTGAAGATATGAGTATTCAACAGAACAATATCTTCGATCATCTGAGTTCTGCTGAAGCAGCTTTGTCTCAAACAAACAGTGTATTTGAATTGCTGCAGAGGAGTAAGGAGGTACGTTAAATCTGTGAAGAGGGGAAAAAATTAAGAATGCAATCGTAAGGGAATTTAAAAAAAAATGTTTCAAGAAATGGCTTTACTTTGTAGAAAGCAATAAGCTGCCCACAAAATACAAGTTATATAAATTTCATCTTTGTCTAAACCTCTGTTGCTTAATCCCCCCATGCTATGCTTGAAAGCACACAATCATCAGGATTTGCATGAAGAGCTAAGGCGCACAAAAGAAAACTGTGCCTTTTGTTTCTTGTTGTTTTGTAACATGTGTGTGTGACAGCAGAAATTACTGTTTTCCCTCAAACCTTAGGAATATGAAAATTTAGGGGCCCAGTTTGATGGTGCAAGGAAGGATCTATTGGAAAAGCTGAGGAGCCTTTCTTTAGCTGGCAGCAAGACTTCTCTTGTGGTGAGGGCTGAAGAACACGCCAACTCTTTACAAGACCTGGCAAGGCAGCTGGATGAGTATGTTTTCATTTCTGTGGATGAATAGTTTAAGAAGAAGAATCATCTTGCCAAAATGTGTTGTACGTAGCATGCTCTTTTACCTGTACTAACTGTAAACTACAAAAAACAAAAAAGAGCACCTTTATCTTGTATGTGTAAGTTTAGATTTAAAGATAAGAGGGAGATTTCTGTACTGAGAGTACAATTTCAAGAACATTTTCATAGGAGTAAGCCCCATTAAGTAGACATGATTAGGCTTTCACTGTGCGTCATGGTCTGAAGCCTAGCATCTCAAGGTCTTTTTTGCACATTTAAGAAATGCCATGTTCCCATCCGTGGGAAGTTGAAAAGTGAGCACTATTATACTCTTATACAAAGCAGCTCACTGCAGTAAGAGCACTAATTTTAGAAAAATCTATATCAAATGTAATATGAATAGTAAAACCAACATTATTTAGGTGTTTTCCTTCCAGTCGCATCGTACTACTGATAGCCTGCACATTTTGGGAATGATCCAGCTAAAGTTAAGTATAGTAGACCACACGCCTAACATTAAGCACAGTCCTGCCCATTTCAATGGGAGAACTAAGCATGTCATGAACTTTCTCTAAGCAGAATTGGTTGCATACAGTAGTGCTTAACTTTGGCAGAGACCGTGTTGTTGTTATTCAGTCACACAGTCGAGTCTGACTCTTCGCGACCCCATGGACCAGATCACACCAGGCCTTCCCGTCTTCCGCCATCCTCTGAAGTTGGCTCAATTTCATGTTCGTTGCATCTATAACACTGTCTAACCATCTCATCCTTTGCCGTCCCCATTTTCTTTGACCTTCAATCTTTCCCAGCATCAGGGTCTTCTCCAGTGAGTGCTCCCTTCTCATTTGGTGGCCAAAGTACTTGAGCTTCAGTTTCATTATCTGGCCTTCCAGGGAACAGTCAGGGTTGATTTCTTTTAGGATTGACTGATTTGATCTCCTTGCAGTCCAAGGGACTCTCAAGAGTCTTCTCCAGCACCATAGTTCAAAAGAATCTATTCTTCGGCGCTTGGCCTTCCTTATAGTCCAACTCTCGCAGCCATACAATACTACTGGGAATACCATTGCTTTGACCATGCGGACTTTTGTTGGCAGGGTGATGTCTCTACTTTTTATCACACTGTTTAGGTTCGCCATCGCTTTCCTCCCCAGGAGCAGGCATCTTTTAATTTCATGGCTGCTGTCACAGTCTGCGATGATCTTGGATCCCAGGAATGTGAAGTCTGTCACTACTTCCACGACTTCCCCTTCTATTTGCCAAGGAGTGATGAGGCCAGATGCCATGATCTTAGTTTTTTTGATGTTGAGTTTCAAGCTAACGTTTGCGCTCTCCTCTTTCACCCTGAGCAAGAGGCTCTTAACCAGGATTAAACTTTCTTAAATTCAAAAAAAGAGGACAGAGAAAGAATCCCACTCTGTTATATATACTGCTCATTCTAGTTTCTTGCAACATTTTCTTGGGGACTGGCCACCTTGACTTATTGGTCTATGAGGTGTGTCTTTTAATTTAAATTTTCAGTGTAACAAAAGTTCATGGTGCTGAAGTGTCCATATCAACAAATGCCTCAGTACTAAAATACTGTGTCCAGACCACTCACGTTATGTAACATACATTTTCTTAATGGACATCTATGTATCTACTTTGTCTATGGTCTTTTCACAGGCTCAAGAAAAACGCAAGTAATGATGATCTGGTGAGGTGTGCTGTGGAAGCCGCTTCTGCCTATGAGAATATTATCAGTGCCGTCAAGGCAGCCGAGGCAGCCGCCAACAGAGCAGCCAATGCCGCGGATTCTGCTTTAGCTGTAAGCATATTCTAAAATGACTTCATGAAGGCCACTTTATTTTTCAACCACTGAATTTCTGAAAAATAGGTGTCATGCTGGTTGAACTTGTGCACTGGGGTCTATTAGGATTAAGGTGGCCAGGTGGATCTAATAACTCTTACTGGGAATACAGGGGGCTTTTCATTCACAGTTTTAACATTTTGCATGTCTTGAAATGTTGCTGTTGCATGAATGTTCCATGTAAGCATTTTTGGTGGTTTAAAAGCCCTGACTACTGTCTACAGTGGAGCTGCCCAAGTATGTAGGCTCACCAAGGAGAAGCCCTGCCCCTAATCCTACATACAAAAGAGCCACTTACATTTACTCAGCTACTTGTGATGAAAAACCACTTTCAGATGCACAGAGATGGTCACAGCTCATTATTTCCTCTGAGACCTTTGGCTCAATCATATTGCAGGTGCCCCTAAATTGGCATATACTTGCAATGAAACAAATGGAGGTTGCATACAACAGCAGACTATTGTGAATTACATTCAATACAAACAGAAGTCAATTGGGGAAGATGAAAGCTCCCTGATGGCGAAGTGCTACAGATTTTCTATACCTCTACCTATTCCTGACATAATTCAGAAATCACAGGCTACGGCTTGTTTGTGATGTGCACAAGTACTCATGTGCTTCTGTTTCTCCTCCTTCCTTCCTTCCTTCCTCTTCCTCCTCTTTTGCAGCATGGCAAAACTGAAGACAAATCTTCAACTAACTCCAGTTGATTGTGACATCCACATGTGAGCACATTTCTTTCTCATAAACTGGGATTCTTAACCACAGTTTAATCCTGGTTAAGAATCCCAGCTACTGGGAAATAAACTAACTTTGGTTTATTAAGGAGCCTGTGTTTGGATACCACAACTAATTAGAGTTAGCTGAAGACTTTGGACTTTCATCTTGACATGCAACATGGGGAGGAGGGAGTGCTTTAGCCCAACAGGTAACCAGGTTTGTGGCCATCATAAATTCTCCATTTGCTCATGACATTCTCTGCTTTTCTTGCTCAGTGGTAAACATCTACTATTCTCCCTTGTTTATAGTACCATGGATTATCAATTTAAAATGGTTTTTTGTTCTTTCTATTTCATATTAACACCTTATTGTACAATGCTTCATTACCAGACAATGGACAAAAATGATCTGCCAGGGAAAGCCAGGAGACTGAAGACTGACAGCAGCAATCTGTTAGATCGAGCACAGAAGGCCCAAAAGACATTAGAAGGTATCTTGAAAAATAAGTAATTTGAGGGATGAAAACAACTTTGCAAGATTTTGATGCTGCTGTTCCTGACTTCACCTTATTGGGAGCCAAGTCATATAGCTTTTCTGAGGTGGTTTTGCCATTCTAGTTTCTTGCTGAAAGCCATTAGTTTAAAATTGACTGAAGAAAAAGTTGGCTAAGGCTGCAATCCTGTGTACATTTACTTGAGAGTAACTCCCGCTGAATACAATAGGATTTACTTCTAAGTACAAACACTTAGGATTGTGCTATAAATCACTACACTGAACAAAAGACTGGTTTCAAAAGGGTTCTTTGAAAGGTGAAACATTGCCTGTGAAGGCTGCTGAATGCTGCTGCCTTCATGGGCAATGCAACAATCCCATTAAACAGTTGGGGTGGATTCTGACATCTATAGGCACAAGGATGCAGGATAATCCCTCCTCTGCCCCCTGGAACACTTTCCTATCCCTGGAATCTTTATCCCGGGAGTCAAGGGGTGTGTGTGTACTAATAGCCATGTGGCTGGGCAGCTACAGTGGAGAGGGGGTGAAATGGTACCCATCTCTTGTAAAAGTCAGAAAGGATTATCTTGTTCCCTTCTCCCTCCCCACTGCAGCCCCACAACTGGTATCACTATTAATACAGGGGCTCCAGAGGGAAGGAAAGTGAAAACCCCAAACCATCAGCACTTTCCTTTGGCAGTTCTGAGGATCCAAATTTTTGTCCAATTCATAGTGACCCTAGAAATTTTTAATCAGAGTTTAGAAAAAGCTATAGCTACAAGTTGGAATGTGAGGAAAAAGGAAATAATCCACCAAACATTAAGCGGCAGAAAGATTTTGCCTTTTAATATAGTATGTATCTGAGTGTGTATGCAGTGCACATGATAGCTACTTGAGGATTTTATTATTAGAGCTTAAGTCAAAAGGGGACAGATGTGACCAGACCCTAGAACACTGTCTGCAATATATGAAGTTCCACCATACAGTGACAATGCACGTTATCTGACGTACTGGCCACTAAGGGATGATGTACAAGAAGAGTTCAAATGTCCCTAGTGCTGCTTAATCCTCAGCTAGCTGTTTTATTTGCTGATAAAAGTAGTCTGGAGTTATCTCCTCAATACAGTCTGGTCTCATGGAAAACTGCTTTCTTGTAGTAGAATGTTGGGTTTTTAGCACAGAAGTATGGATTTCCTGAGTACACCTAAGGTTCTTCCAAATGCTAAAGGAAACGGGAGAAGACCAGATTCAATTAATGGAGTTCCATTAGAGCTGAATATGACTTTTTTAGATTCACTTCTCGTCTGCTTAGAAAAAGACTGTCTAGAGAGTAAAGCAGAAAGAGGTTGTAGGTAGCTATGTTGGTCCAAAGTAAGATCGAAAGCCACATAATACCTTTTTTGAAGAGAGTAACTCAAATGACACAAAACAAATAAAAATGGAAGGGAGTTCGTAATTACCAGGCTGATTCAAGACAGATTATTTTTTGTGTGTACAGGAATCAATCCTGCACTTGAACAAGTAAACAGCAGAGTTGGGGATGCTCAACGCAGGAAAAATTCCATCCAGGGAGAACTTGCAACCTTCCAAAATGACCTTCAGGGGATAAACAGAGGTAAGTTACTTAATTTCTACTACTGTGCATTTTGGTCTGCATTTATTATTATACACACCGTATCTGTATGTTTTCCCCAGGATAACTTTGTCTCTTTCTTAAAAATTTAGTAGAAATAAGGGACACCAAAGGAAACTGATTGGCACTAGTTTTGGGTAAGATTCCCAGAGCCGTGAAGAGGACCACTTTGGGAAATTGTGTTTATTGAAAGGGTGTGAGCCAGGCAAATGTTGCTTTTTTATTACATGTTAAGATAGGAGAAAAGTATTAACTCATTCATCTGTGTGCCTCTTTGTCTTCTGTTAGAAGAGATAGACAGCATGATTACAAATGCAAAGAACATGGTCCAAAATACCAACGAAGTTACTGCCAATGTACTAGAAGAACTGGAACCAATTAAAACAGATGTTGAAAATATAAAAAACACATATGAAAGCATGCATAGTGCTGACTTCAACGCAGCTTTGGTAGAGGCAAACAATTCAGGTACATAATTTGTTTGCTTACACTAATCTTTTCTGAATTGCAGATAAGGAATCATAGCACTTACTGGTTCTCTTTGGAAAGCAGAAAATATAAGATAATCTGGGCGTTACTAGCTTTTCGTAGGATATAGGCAACCTGTTAGTTAACGACTTGAACTCTTTAATTCATAGGACAGAGATTATTGTGAAGAAATGGCTTTACATATATATTCTCATGGCTGCTGCCCTTAAGATAACAATCTCGCCCATATTTGTATTTTTATTTTCAGCATTACTATTTTCTGCACAGTGGGTATTGAAAAAGATTCCATCTGTGTTCCTCAGACTATTTTGGATAATAAGAAACCAAGGGTTAATAAGAAAATTAAGCAAGCACCATGTGTGAAAGGAGATGTAGCTGCTTCTAATATAGTTAGATATTATCAGACCACATTATTGGTAGCACTGGCATATTGGTTCTAGGAAAGTAGGAATGTTATTCGGGAGTTGGAGCAGAAAGGAATATTGTTTCCTTTGAACAGGTGGATCTGGCAGAATAAAAACCAAATGGCTGTGTCCTTCTTGAATCCAGTCAGGGAAGCATTAATTGATCATTGGATAGATGTTTCAATAGCATGTGGTTTAAATATTCTCCCCTGACACTTTGGATGTGTGTTAAGGGGTTGCAGAAGATGCTAAGATTTGGAAACTTTTACCAGTGAATGCAAACATGTCTGTCAATATTTATTGATCTCAAAGAAAAGGGAAGTTTTATGACCTATAATGAGCTGGAAAAGAGAATTGCACCATAAAATTCCTTTATTTCAGTATTTTCAGTTCAGACATGGAATTAAGAACAACTAATGTGTTTAGATGATTGATTCAAAATAATTCTGATTTGTCAAGGGCAATCTAAGGGTGTGATCACATGATCAGTTTGGCCCGACATAGCCACCCTTCCCCTCTGGATCAAATGGGTGCTACCAAATGCACACATCTGGCTTCTGTGCCCCAGTCATCCCTACTTCATCCTAAAATGACTCCCAAGTGGATTATTTATTTATTTAATTAATTGGATTTTTACCCCGCCCTCCCACCGAGGCGGCTCAGGGTGGCTTACAACAATTTAAAACAACATACAATTTTAAACCAGCAAATACAAAATATAAAATGCAATAAATACAGTAAAATTAAGTAAATCCAGCAGCATCCTGTGGTAAAATGCTAGTGTGACCCAGCCGGTGCAGTCAGCTCTTTTTTGAACGCTTGGTGAAACAGCTCAGTTTTCGCCGCTCTACGGAACTGCTGGAGGTCCCGTAGAGCTCTAATTTCATTAGGGAGCTCGTTCCACAGCGTTGGCGCCACCAGGGAGAACGCCCTGGTCCTGGTTACCATCAACCTGGCCTCCCTAGGCGCAGGGGGGGCCAGGCGGTGTTGTGATCCAGACTTCAGTGCTCTTGGGGGAATGTACGGGGAGAGTCGGTCCCTCAGGTAGGCAGGCCCCTGACCATTTAGGGCTTTAAAGGTCAAAACCAGCACCCTGAAGCGAATCCGGAACGCTATTGGAAGCCAGTGCAATGACTTCAGCACAGGCTGGATGTGCTTCCACCTGGGGAGACCCATCAACAACCTGGCTACCACGTTTGGAACCAGCTGCAAGTTATGAAGTTGCCCCAAGGGCAGCCCCATGCAGAGAGCATTACAATAGTCTAGCCTCGAGGTGACCATAGCATGGATCACTGAAGTCAGATCATTGCGTTCGAGGAAGGGGACCAACTGCCTAATCAGCCAAAGATGGTAAAAGGCTGCCTTGGTGGTGGCTGCTACCTGGGCCTCCATTGTCAGTGAAGCATCCAGGAGCACACCCAAACTCCTGACCCTTGGCGCTGGCACCAATGGCGCCCCACCAAAGGCCAGAAAAAGGGGCCCCTACCCCCGAGCCACTCCAATTCAGGCAAAGGACCTCTGTCTTCGTTGGATTCAGTTTCAGACGACTCAGCCTAAGCCATCCCGCCACGTCCTGCAACGCCCGGTCCAGATCTTCCGGGGTAGAGCCAGACTGACCACCCAACAACAGATAGAGCTGGGTGTCATCCGCATATTGGTGACACCCAAGCCCATACCTCCGGGCAATCTGGGCAAGGGGGCGCATATAGATGTTAAATATCATTGGGGAGAGCACTGCCCCTTGGGGCACCCCACAGAGTTCATGAAAAAAATGGGCTGATTTCCACCAATTCATTATTTCTTACTGCAGACCCCAGTCCCATCCCACACTATTCTGGGATCCTACCTTTTAGGGAGAGCTAAAATCTGCAGAAAGAAAAGGAAGATGGCAAAGTACTCACGTAAAGGTTCTCACTAACTTAGTGAACATTAACAGTGTACTGTAAAGTAAAATAACAAAATCTTTAAAAAATAAAAAAAACAGTTATATCCTTATTAATGCAATGACTTCAATGAATTTAGAAAGGTATAGCTGTGTGTAGGACTGCACTGCAAAAATGTGATCGTTTATGATTATTATGTTACTTGTATTTGAGGTTTTCTTAACTCTCCTGTTTTTAATCTTACAAACAGTAACAAATTTAACAAACATCCTCCCGGATCTATTTAACAAGATTACAAGCATCAATGAACAACTTATGCCAATAGGTAACATATCTGAGAATCTAAACCGCATCAGAGAGCTCATCCAACAAGCTAGAGATGCTGCAAACAAGGTGTGTATGTGGCAGAATCTTTCAGGGCTTTTCCTTCGAACCATCTGTTGTCATACCTTCACTCAAGAATGTTACTTCAAGATGTTATTTAATGTTTACATGGAACTTCTGGGAGGGATCATCTGGTCAACTATGCCATCCATATGTGGCTGACATCCAGTTCCATTTCTTTCTAACACATGCGTTGTGTGTGTGTGTGGAGCTCCTGAATCAATGCCTGCAGGCGGTGATGGATCTGGGCCTATAAAGTGAATTTCAGACCAGGATTTGAGTGGTGTGCTGTTTCTCAATGATAAAGCCTTTCAAGGATTGAGGAATCATCCTATCCTATTGGGGGTTGCACTCCTCCTGGAGGGAGTAGGTTTGTAGTTCAGGGGTGCTGCTGGATCCTGGCCTCTAATTGGAGGCCAGCTTGCACAGTGGCAGAGGGGGCTTTCTGTGATTCCCCTGTCCCACACACCATCCTGCGCCTTTTCAGAAGCTGTAGAAGAAGGTCTTCCACCCCACTCGCATATGTCTAGATCTAGCTCATACTTTTTATGGGTATCTGGTGACAGCACATCTAAGTGTACTTTATCATAGTACTTGTTATAATCAATTGTGTATAATATTTATATTCTGTTAGATGAAGGGGGGAAGCAGGCAATTAAAACAGACTTCATGTGGGATTGCTACTGGTATGGAAGAAGAAAAAATGTTACTGAGATGTGTCCTATACTGGCTAGGCCACCAATTAAGATACTCTTATGCCTCAATGGAACTCTTGGTTTGTTTTATGTGTTGTCTTAATAGTGATAGTGTTTGTTGTTTTAATTACTTTTTTGTTTTTGCTTGGTAAGCAGCCTTTGGAAAGACAACGTATAAATTTTATATAAAAAGTACAGAAATAAATCCATTCCTTTCACTAAATCATCTTATAGTCTATTTAGTGAATGCTGTACGTAAAAGAATAAACAATTATTATTTTATTTATGCTTACATATAGCAGCTTCACCAAAGGTAAAGTTAAGCTGCTCATTGGAGGGCATAGGTACAGTCAGCATAGGTACCAGCTATCATGGGAGGTGTACAGTTTTATACAGTAGGCATTCTTTTGAGCTGGGCTGCCTGTGCAGCTCCTGTTAACCTATTCTTTGCTACTTTCATTTAACAAAACTAATCTTGGGGAAAATGGAATTTGGAAAGGCCAAAAGTATTAGCCATCAGAAAGAGAGCTTTAAAATGGACAAACAATACCCAGCAGTTGTTGCACTTAACAACCTCATCTCAGTTTCTAGAATTGTTCACGTGACTACCATTAGAGAGCAGGCATTTTTCAAATTGAAGATAGCTCTTGCAAACAGAGCCTAAAGTTCTAATCTTGTTTTCTGTGTTTCACAGTGCTATCCTAAGCAGAATTATACCTTTCTGTGTGTGTGTGCACGCGCACGCATACACACACACATATATGTATATAGGTATAACAGGGCATAACTTTGCCTGGGATGTCACTGTTAATGTTCACTAAGTTAGTGAGAACCTTTACGTGAGTACTTTGCCATCTTCCTTTTCTTTCTGCAGATTTTAGCTCTCCCTAAAAGGTAGGATCCCAGAATAGTGTGGGATGGGACTGGGGTCTGCAGTAAGAAATAGGGAATTGGTGGAAATCAGCCCATTTTGTTTCATGAACTCTTGTGTAAATGGAGCTGGAGCTCGCACAGTGGCAGAAGGGGCTTTCTGTGATTCCCCTGTCCCACACACCATCCTGCGCCTTTTCAGAAGCTGTAGAAGGGCTTCCACCCGACTCGCATTTGTCTAGATCTAGCTCATACTTTTTATGGGTATCTGGTGACAGCACATCTCAGTAACATTTTTTCTTCTTCCATACCAGTAGCAATCCCACATGAAGTCTGTTTTAATTGCCTGCTTTCCCCCCTTCATCTAACAGAATATAAATATTATTGCACTTTACTTACATTTTGAATGTCTCCTAATAAAGTGTACTTTATTATAGTACTTGTTATAATCAATTGTGTATCATATATATTCTTAATAGGTTGCTATTCCCATGAGATTCAATGGCAGTGCTGGGGTTGAAGTTCGACCTCCAAGCATTCTTGAGGACCTGAAAGGCTATACGTCCCTTTCTTTGTTTCTTCAAAGACCTACCTCAAGGTTGGATACCCCACAAACTTCCAACATGTTTGTTATGTACCTGGGTAACAAAGATGTAGGTATTCTTTTCATTGTCCCCATCATTTGTATTATTTGAATATATGAAGATATCTTTTAGTGAGTGAAACCATTGATCCATTCAGCTCAGTATAATCTACCTTGACTGGCAGCAGCTTTATAGAGCTGGGCAGAAGAAGGCCTTTCCCAGTGCTGGATAGTGTGCTCTACCACTGGCTCCTGAAAACAGTGTGTTTACCTTCAACTTTGAAAGTGGGTTTTAGTCAATGCTCCCTCTAAGCTGTGGAGTCTTGTGAGCAAAAATGCTACTTTGTGAGCTACTGGAATTAAAGTTGTGAGCGAACGATTTGGCTACTGCATAAATTAGTTTGCTCCGGAGCCATCCTTCCTGAGCTAAGACAAAAATCTGTAAGCTGGAAGCTAAAAAACTGTGAGCTAGCTCACACTAACTCAGTTTAGAAGTAACATTGGTTTTAATGTGTATCTAATGAGTGCTATGTGACAGTTGGGGCAGAGGTGTCAAAAGCAGGATGTCTAGTATAGCCCCCTGCCTTGCAAAGGCTACTGTTATCCAAACATCACCAAAATATCAATACGGTATAGGCTAGTATATTTATTTATTTATATATTTATTAATTCAACTTATATCCCGCCCTCCCCGCACATGCGGGCTCAAGGCGGCTTACAGGAGGAAGCTCAGGGAGTTTAAAGCAACTTAAGATGGTTAGACAGTGTCATAGATGCAACGAACATGAAATTGAGCAAACTTCAGAGGACAGCGGAAGACAGGAAGGCCTGGCGTGATCTGGTCCATGGGGTCGCGAAGAGTCGGACTCGACTGTGCGACTGAACAACAACAACAAACAACAACCAGTTGTTAATTTAGGGAAAAGGGTCATATCTGATGTTCTACTTTTAATTCCCATTACAGTGACAAAATAACTTGGTGTGCCTTTAAGTCACAGTACATTGATTATAAAGTTTACAGCTCTGCTGTGAAAAATACTCTAAGCAAATAAAACATTTAACAAATGCAGGCACATAGTTTTAAAATACAGTTAAGAGAAAAATAAAAGAATACTTTTTGAAATATTTTTAAAACACATGGCTTCACATGTGTTTATGGTTTGTGGTTGTGGTTGTCTGTTCTGTCTCCTATCTACAATTTGATCTGAAAGTAGGATAGCAGTTACATATTTAAATACACGCCCTGATGCCCTGTTGCCTACTATTTAATTTTGGGTGACAAATGTGCATTGACAGGAAATAAAATATATTGGTTATATATATTAAATACAATCAGGTATTTCAGGACTTGAGCAAGTCTAGACTACCAAACTAAATTGGTTTGGTGATCATAACTACTGCCTAAGGAAACTTGAACGCTGTAGTTGTGTGTGTATGGGATGTTAAAACTTTGTCAAAAATAAAAGAGAGTCTCAGAAAACTCAGATCTACAATCCTCTTAGTTGCTTAGGTCTTTTTTCATGTCAGGCCTAAAACTAGTTTAAACTTCTAATGCAAAATTAATAATATTTCAGAAAATGAATATACTCTACAACATACTTCCCTAGGAAACATTAAAGTTCCCTGAAATAATTATAGGGTATATTTCCGGAATTTGCCAGTCACTAAGGTCTGTTTCTCTTATGGCAATGTTCCTACACAGATATCAACTCTGTGTGGGAAAATATTGTTTACTGTAATGTGTGCAATGCAGCACAGGTGCTTTCTGTTCCACAAGCAGCTGCTGTGTTAATTTATTACTGCACTGAAAAATGTTAATATGTGAAGGAAGCCCTTGTTAATTAACCTAAACTTGCATTTGTAGAGTTCCAAGGACTATATAGGCATGGCTGTTCGGCGCAGCCGTCTTATTTGTGCCTATAGTTTAGGCGGCAATGAAGCTGAAATTGAAGTGTCTGAACCAGTGTATCAGAGTGAGATCAAGGATGCCATTTTGGATCATGTGAAATTTGAGAGGTATAGGACTCTCCATAAGCCTTGCTTATTTCACTGAACTGTCTTCTTTTGAGATGTTTCATTTTTACATTACATTCTTATTTCCGCTTTCATTTTAGAATCTACCAGTATGCAAAGCTGAATTACATTAAAGGGGCAACCTCATCTTCATCCACAAGCCTTGGCCCTTTTAATAGCAACAGTGGAAGTAGTCACACCCTCCTCAGCCTGGATCCTGACAACGTGGTCTTCTATGTGGGAGGATACCCAGAAGACTTTATAGTAATGTTTTTCTTATTTACAGAGATGTTACACTTAATTTTTAAAAACTAGTAATCCTGATTCTTTGTTTTCCATAACTTGGCAATATAATCTCATAATTAGAGCCAGGAGTGGGTATGTTCTTTGCCTTAAAAAATCCTTTCCTAACAGTAAATGAAATTATGCAGCAGAATTCTGCAATCTGATTTAAATGTATAAATTATGGTAGAAATCCTCTCCTGATTTGGCATTATTTGTTCTGCATCAGCTAGCCACAGAGAGAATCAGCATCTATGTAGGCAAATAAACCTTGTCTCTGGCAGGTGTGGGGGGGAGGGAATAACTCTTGTGCTGCTGCAGTTATCTACACATGGACTAACAACTTTACTGATAGATATAGGGATGCTGCTAAGTTTGACTGAAAATTATTTTTGTCCCTGCAGCCTCCTAGCACCCTAGACTACCCTCGTTATGAAGGCTGCATTGAATTAGATAGTTTAAATGAGAGAGTAATCAGCCTTTACAACTTCAAGAGGACTTTTAATCTCAATACAACAGAAGTGCAACCATGCAGAAGGTAAAAATAGATGTCTTAACACATTTGTGTATGTCCGAAGGCACACTGGAGTTTCACAATACTTAATACAGCATGTCAAGGATAGTGTGACATGAATGTTTTCCCTTACCTCAGGGCTTTTCCACATGTGTTTTTTCCCCATCAGTTTTGACCCCAGACTGCTTCAGTTTATCCCCCAATTTCTGTGCTCATTTTTTTGCCTTTAGTTTTTGTTTGGTTCCCCCCCCAGATATTTTCCGTTTCTTTTGAGATCACTTTTACCTCAGTCTTTTTCTGGAAGCCAATTTTGAGTTGCCTTTTTCCTTGTGTGTAATGTTTCTGTCGGTTTTCTTTGTCCCACAGGCTCCCATGCACTTCTAGCCCATTTTTCAATGATTGGACTCTCATCATCATCAAGCCACTCCATCTCCCTCCCCCTGCCCTGAAGACAAGTTATTTCATTTTTTTAAATGGCACTAAAATACAGATCTATCAATATACTGCTGTAATGATAGGTCAAACAGGTCCTCTGAATTCACAGCTTTCATTTTTTTTAAAAAAGTAAATCTCTAGCTGAAAAGTACTGAGACTGATGCAGTGATTTCAGCTCATACTTTTACTGTAAGTGAAGAACAAGACAAACTCTACCGGCTCGCAGGCCGGCTTATATTCCCAGTAAACCCCACACCCAAAACACACCCCACGCCAGTGATTGGTTATTTACATTATCAGGCTTACCATAGGTCCTTGCTAGGATCCTAGCCCTCCGATAGGTGCGGGCTAGGATCCGCTCGGGCCATTGTTCTCTGAGGCAAAGCTCGGCTGTTTCGCATGACCGCGTGGAAGCCCGGCCTCGCATGCGGTCGAACTTCGATACATAACACTAGCTGCTTTCCTTGTGGAGGTATGCCTTTTTTATATCTGCGAAGGAAGAGGCTAGAGCCTTTGTGGGGTTTTTTTAATGAATACTGGGAACTCAGAAAACCTGCTTGATCTATCATTACAGAGCATATAGATATTTTAGTGGTTTTTTAAAAAAAACAGTCATGATATTGATATATTGATATAAGCATGTGCAAAAAATAAAGGAGGGTGTTGTGATGACCAATGACAACAGCACCCTCACTTGAAAATCCTGATTATTTAAGGCACATGTGGAAGCAAATGAACTGACTCCAGAACTGTAAAAGTGCAGAGGGAGGGCAGAAACACTGAAGAACCGTGTCCAAACCAATTGCAGTACTTACAGATAGACTCCCAAGAAAACAAGGAATTAGTCAAGCATGGAGAAAAACCCTCAGAGTGCTATTTTCTGTCTTATTGTCATGCTCTCTGTATGGAACAGAGCTGGAGGAAAGGGTACAGTATTTAAACTTTGAGTCACAAGCTAATCTAAGTTCAGTGAGCTTTAAAATTAGTTTTACTGAACTCACATTAGACATTATCCAAGTCCTTTATTATGAGGCTTTTAAGAAGGCTATAGATGACAATCTTCCCAATATTTGTATGCACCTGGCATATGATAAAATTGTCCTCACTCCTTGGCAAAGTGATAACAAGGACCAAATAACTTCAAGATAAAAGTGCTCACTAGAAGGAAGTTGAGAACACTCATCCTGGGGCATCTCACTACGAAGTAACAGAAGAGAATCACCTCCGAATGAAAGCCACCATCTGAAGCTGAAACAAAAAGCAGTGTTGAAACAACTTGATATCTCCCAAATTTATTGTGGCATAATATTTTGTGGACTACTAGAGCTCATTTCATCATATGTATAAAACATGTTGTAAATTGGCACTGTATGCTTCTGATGAAGTGAGTTCTAGCTTATACCACAATAAATCTGTTGATCTTTGAGACACCACAAGACTCTGTTTTTGCTGCAATGGACTAACATGTTTACTCCTCTCAAGTTAATTTAAATCTCATTTCCGCCAGTCACACCTAACGCCAGTTCACTTGATTCAACATGTGGACTGTTGAGTGTGTTGTTGAATGAATGTGAAAAGTGTTTAGCCATGTGTCATGAACCCGGGGGGTCTCCGCCTTCCGCTGCCGCTACCCTGGACTTCGGTCCCTTGAGAAGGCCCAGGGTACCCTCTCAAGCCCAGCCAAAATGCCCCTTTTTCAAAGAGAACACACAGGCGTGATTGAGCCAGGCAGAGAAAATAATTAAACAAAAAGGGTTTATTAAAAACAACAGTGGGGCATGGAAAACAAGACAAGGCAAGGTGCTTAAAAAGGGTATAACAGTGTTAAAGGAAAAATAAACATAATCTAATGCAGCTACCTGTTTCTACTTCCAGGCCACGCTACCTAGCACTCACGCTGAGCCCAGTGGAGATCATCCTCTCTCCCAGACCAGCCTGTCCCCACAGTCCAGGCTGCAGAGAGAGAGACGGAAAAACTGAGGGATCTTTGTCTTCCCAGACCAACCTGTCCCCTCAGTGAGACCAGGCCGCAGAGAGACGAAAGAACACCCTATTTTCCACAGTTAACGGCTAAGACCGACTCTCCTCACACAGTTCAACAGTCTCCTCCCAGAATCTTCCTCTCTGATTGTCTATAGCCCGTTACTAAGCCTTATGGGGACTGTAGGCTGTCTGCTCACTGCCATGCAGGTCTCTCCTGGGACCAGGCCACACTAGGCCCTGCTCCCAGTCCTGCACAGATCATGACAGCATGTGATGAACCAGCTGTGCTGTTGCTCTATCATATATGTTAGTCCTCATAGTGTATTTTGGACTCATATTGCATTAGAATTACTCTGTGTTTTATTTATTTAATGTCGCTTGGATGGCCTCAGATTGAAAAATTAATTCAGTTACTTTATTGAAACCTTGATTGTGCCTGTAGAAGGCAAGTTAATGTCATTTGTCACATTTCCTTATTACAGATATACAGAACAGTCAGCTAAAACTTATTTTGAAGGTACAGGCTATGCTCATGTTACACCTTTGCCAAGTACACCTTCATCAAGTGTTCGATATGAGCAAACTATTCAAACAACTGCAGATGAAGGACTGGTATTTTTTGCAGAAAGCCAGGTAATTTATTTGCATGGCAATGAGGAAAGGTGGAAATGTGGAAATGTGACAAGGGCTTACTGTGATTGAACACCATATTTAGCCTTGAAAACTCCACGGGGTTGCCATAAGTTATTGAAAACTTCATGGGGTTGCCATAAGTTATCTGTGACTTGATGGCAGAATGAATGAATGAATGAATGAATGAGAGTATGTTCATTTGCCTAAAAAAATTAAACTTGAAGTTCTCAGAACTGCTGTGTAGAACATGGGCAAATACGCACATTTCAAATAGTGGTGTGTCAAACATATTTCAAAAGACATTCTTTCTTTCTTACAGGATGACTTCCTTAGTTTAAGGATTGAAAACGGTAAACTAGTAATCAGGTGCAAAGTTGGTTCAGAACCTCCAAAAGAAAACCGGTCTGCAGAGGTTGTGAATAACGGAATGGATCAACCAGTAAGTTTTTTAAAAATCTCAGAAAATATAATGTATTTTATAAATGATGCAAATTTTCAGATAATTCCATTCACAAAAAATGTATAGTCTTCTACTATTTAGTGTCTCTGGTCAAAAAAGTAATTTTATTGCCATTATTCTTACCTCTGGTAATAGGGTTGCCAACCCCCCCGGTTTGCCAGGGGTCTCCCTTTTTTGGGGGGGTTCTACCCGCCGCTGGCCAGATGGCCGGCGGGGAAGCCCCACCCCCAACACCCACAGCCACCCATCTCTCTCCCTTTAAGTGTGTGGAACCCGTGTTTCCTCCCAAGCCTGATCTCCGCAAGCTTGCAGGGAAATGCCAGCTTCATGCTCTTAAAAGGGAAACGCGGCTGCTCTTAAAGGGGAAATGCTGGCTCCTGCATTTAAAAGGGAAACGCCGGCTCCTTTAAGTGCAGGGAACTGCCATTTCTGGAGATCTGGCGCACGGGCAGGTGGGTGGGCGACGGACGTCCCCAACGTGACATCACGTCGGGGATGCCTCGCCCCCTCCAGGCATGCCCCCAAAGTCCCCCGCTGGGGGTGGAAGATGGACTTGGCAACCCTATCTGGTAAGTATTTGAAACAATGTTTATTTCTGTAGTACATTTTTATCCTGCCTTTCTTCTAAAGAGCCCAGGGTAGTGTGCATCAGACCCATCTCCTCTATTTCACTGTCCTCATAAAATATAACTAAAACCCCCATTGTACACGAAAAATTCACACAGAAAATTGGAAACTCTGGATCATGGCCAATATATTTACGGTGAGGGAAACTTGCTCAGACCCTGCTGTTGGTTCTTGTAAAGGGGCAGCTAAAGCCTTTTGTTTTGACAGAAATTCTCAATTTTCTTCCTTTTTTTCCTACTGGACATATTGTATGTTGTTGATTTTTTCTGTGTGGCTGAAATTATTATCGACCTGTAGTTTCCTTACTGTTTGAATTTTTCCCACTGTTTTTATTATTAGAGAAACTGTTTTGGTTTGCTGCTGCTTTTACTTGGCAATTAATACATTTGCTTCTATTTAGTAGCTTATTTTTAAGATGGGTTTTTTTTCATTGTGCCATTGGTATGTGCTTTGAATGAGAGTGCTGCAAGCCAGGCTGGTCGTTTTTTAATGAAGAATATGGATTATAAATATTTTAAATAAGTTCCTTTGTATTTTACTTGTATACATGTTTTATTGATGTCTTTTTGTGCTAGTTTATTTTTAGTTATCTTGACTTATGATTGAAAAGCAGCATGTAATGGGAAATAAATAAAATGTTAGGATGAAGCTATAAAGGTCCAAACTAAAATAATGAGAATAGTAAAAAATTAAGATCACTAGTAGTTCAGCAGTTCAAGACCCAAGTGCCGCATGACAGAGTGAGCTCCCGTCTCTGGTTCCAGCTCCTGCTAACCTAGCAGTTCGAAAGCAAGAAATTGCCAGTAGATAAATAGGTACCGCTTCGGTGGGAAAGTAACAGCATTCTGTGCACCTTGGCATTTAGTCATGCCGGCCACATGACCATGGAAACATCTTCAGACAGCGCTGGCTCTTCGGCTTGGAAACGGAGATGAGCTCCACGACCCTAGAGTCGGATTTGACTGGCTTTTGAGCAAGGGAAACCTTTACCCTTTAACTAAACTGCTTCACCATAGCTTGATTTTTTTAGTTCCTTCAAATTAATATACAATGCAATCCTGAGCAGAATTGTACCTAAGCCCATTGACTTATAAGGGTGTAACTGTGCTTAGGATGGCACTGGTAGCATACTGCAGTGGTGTGCTGCTGACCATCTGATACCAATAAAGTGCATAATTGAAAGGAGTTAAAAGCAGAAATTAATTCTCCAGTGGTCCAGGCTGGGGCTGTCTCAATTCTGGGATAAGCTCCTCCCTATAGGCAGGCAGGGTCACTGATCCTTGTGCGATTCCTGGAGGGGAAGGGCTTCTCTCTTGGATCCCGGTCTTTGGCCCTGCCTCAAGGCAGATAGATGTTGTCGGCTACGCTCCATTTGAGTGCCACAATTCCTATTCTATTTTCTAGTTTTTCTCAGTGTATTTTTGTTTGGTTTGTCCATTCTTCTTTTCCTTCATGGGGAGATTAATCAGGGAGTGGGAAGGTCATCGCCGCCCCCCCAGCCTCACAGCCATTGTACAGCTACATGGCACACTGTATTTACTATAAGATGTTCTATATTCACTTTGTTTTGGTTTGTTTTTAATCTGTTTTTTCTTTTACAGATTGGTATAGTCATTGTTCAGAAAAAGATTGTCCTGGTTTTAAAGTCTGCACAACCTTTAGAATTAGATAATGTAACTTTATTTCGTTTTGATTCTTATTATTTGGGAGGAATCCCTACATCTCTAAGAGAACGGTGAGCTATGATGGTCTTAAGAACAAGAGCTATATTTCTAGTAGATTGTGTTATGGATGTAGATCAGGCCCACACAACTGGTGACCCACCAAGCTGAACACAGCCATATATTGTGATCCGTTGGGGGATCAATATGTCTCCTGTTTTTGATACCTATTTAGTACAGCAAAAGTGTCAGTCACATTGAAGAACATAGTATGGCTGATGGACATGGTGGTTCATAGGTATTACCATTAGGGATGGGCACGAACTGGCTCATGAATCAAAATTCGGGCCGAACTTGGGCTGGTTCAGAGCTCTGGAACTGATGTTTGGGGAAGGTGCATTTCCCAAACATTTAGCAGACTTTTTCGGCTTTTCGGTTTGGCTGTTCGGGGCGAGCCAGTTAAACCTAACAGCTGAGTGGCGCCAGCCCCCCCCCCCAAATTTCCCAAAAGGGCATTGCCGCTCGGACATCACACGCGAGAGTTCCCCCAGCTCTCCTTAGGGGCTCTTTAAAAAGTCATTCTGGCTCCCCCAGCTCTCCTTCGGGGCTCCTTAAAAAGTTATGGCTGCCGCCGCTGTTCTCAGCGGCAGCTACGATGCCCACCCGGGGGGGGGAACATTCTCCTGCTTCCCTGAGCCCCGGGGTGGTGGCCTTCATAGGGGTAAATTCTACCTCTCGTGCGAGAGGTCATTCTGGCTCCCCCGGCTGTCCTTAGGGGCTCTTTAAAAAGTTAATACTGCTGCTGCTGTTCTCAACGGCAGCTGCGACGCCTGTGGGAGGAGGGGGACTGCTGAGCTGCCCTCCCTGCCTTTTTCAGGCTCCGCGCCCAAGTGCCGGGCCTGAAAAATGGCCTGCAGAGCTGCTGCCCCTGCCCTCCCTCCTTTTTTAGGCTCCGGGCTAGAACGCCGGGCCTGAAAAAGGGCCAGCCAAATGTCAATTTCAGCCCCATTATATCCTATGGGCCATTGAAGCCATTGAAAAGTAATTTTTTTCCCACCATAGAGAACAATGGAGGGGATGGGGGCAACCTGTTTGGGGGGCCATAGAATTGGAGCCCCTGGTTCAATGTTCCTGAAACTTGGCAGGTATTTTGGGGAGAGGCTCCAGCAGCTACCCTGCGATTTTGGAGCATCTCCCTCAAACCCCCTCCCCTCCAGCCCCCAGAACATACCCTATATTTTCGCCAATGACTTCAATGGCCCATAGGATATAATGGGGCCGAACTGTGGGAAGCCGATTCAGATCAGAGAATCTGATTCGGCCCACAGCAGCCTGAAAGGGGCCCAAATGGGCCATTTTCGGGTGTGCATTCGGTTCAGATGAACCGAATGCACATCCCTCGAAGCTGGTTCAGATCAGAGAATCTGATTCGGCCCACAGCAACCTGAAAGGGGCTCGAATGGGCCATTTTTGGGGGTGCATTTGGTTCAGACGAAGCGAATGCACATCCCTCCAGCAGCTGGCTTGCTCGGGCTCTCTGCAGCCGTTGGGGATCCTGAGCAAGCCAAGGGAAGGGAAGGTGGTTTAAACCGCCTCTCCTTCCCTCCAGCAGCTGGCTTGCTTGAGCTCCCCGAGCAAACCAAGGGAAGGGAAGGTGGCGGAGCAGCTGGAGACATTGAGCCTCAGCTCCACAAGTTATGAGCACTTGAGCCCCGCCCCCAGCAGCCCTCAGGCCGGAGCACCTGGAGCAGTCTTGGGAGGCGGATTGGCAAAAAGCAAAACCAAAAGC